GACGCCTCTCCCACCCCCCCACCCACCCCGTGATCAAGTGCAGGGCACTATGAATTGATCAGCATGCAAATGGCCCCCTTTATCTGCGGAAATTGAATTTAGTTGCCAATCTTGATTGAGAGCTAGAGGCCTCCTCACAGAAAGATAACAGCTCTCAGGGAGAATGCCTTTTCTCTCCTTAAATCAAAGCTTGACTAACCCCATGGAAACAGCTGCAAGCTGGAGCCACAGACTCTGTGAAAGGTGGCAGGCTGAGGATGTAATTAAAATTAGCAGTTACATAACATGTTTGTTCTTCAAAGTGCCTACAAGCATCGGCTAATTAATAGCTTACTATGCCCCATGCAGACCCACTGGTTTTTCATGCAGTGACTAATCTTTGTACCCACCCCCCGCACCCCCGCCCGCCTTGAATTCTGAATGGTGGGGGCAGAGCAGCTGGAGCAATAAAGCAAATGGCTGGGTCCAGAAGCCATGCCCCGCTCTCTTACCAAGGGACTCCCGTAGATAGCTCTGGGCTAGGAACACGTCCCCAGATGTTGAATTCTGCACCTCATGAGGCAGCTGCCTCACTTTCTCCGAATAACTCTTAGAGGTGCCGCTGAAAATGCCATAATAGGTTGGAATGACCATTAAGACTGGAAACCTGGAGTCCTTGTTGTTAGTTACAGGCCTGTCTGCTTTCCTGTGCAGGTTGGGCAAGTCAGGGAGCCCTCTCTAGAGATCTCTGGGTTATTATCCACGCCGGCCCTTTGTTGTTTCTATGGTTGCAGTCTCTAGCCTACGACCTCTTGTGTTTGTGTAGAGATGAGTGAATGTGGAACTGCATGCCATAGACAGGGCCTCAGCAGTGGAGCTGAGTTCTCCATCTACACCAGGACTCCTAGAGGCCCACAGCACCTCGGATCTGTAAAACACTGTATGTACATGTGTATGCGCATCTCTTTGGAGAAAAGTCTGTTTATCTAATTGCCCTATAAATTCCAAAGAGGCAGCATCTAGCGAAGTACCTCCTACATAGTGTTTGCTACATGGATATCTATTGAGTTGATAGATTTCATCAAATTTATATCCCCAAACTGGTTATGAACTATTGCTCTATGGACAAATAATCACCAGCAGGTCACGTTTTGCTTTCTCTGGCTAGACTTGCTACTTTGATTGGCAAGACTCAAGACATTCTACCATAATTCTGCTGCGAGTCAAACCAGAGACCAGATGAAAACTATCTTGAGATTTCCACTCTTCCGCGCTTTGCCTTTGAGCCAAGAAAGTCAACATTTAGAAATACATGCCCTGCCCTAACCGGTTTGGCTCAATGGATAGAGTGTCAGCCTGCAGACTCAAGGGTCGCAGGTTCGATTCCGGTCAAGGGCATGTACCTTGGTTGTGGGCACATCTCCAGTAGGGGGTGTGCAGGAGGCAGCTGATCGATGTTTCTCTCTCATCGATGTTTCTAACTCTCTATCCCTCTCCCTTCCTCTCTGTAAAAATATCAATAAAATATTTAAAAAGAAAAGAAATACATGCCCAGAGTCATTCAACCATTTGTCACACCCCCAGACCAACCATCACAAATGGTAAGAATCATTGCCTTTACCACCTTGTTTCTTGGAGGCACTGGTGGGAAATAAAGCATGTGGAAGCGCACATCCATCCCGAATGTGGGGGTTCTCAATAGGGGGGGGCTTACCTATGGGAATCCTGTTCCAGGGGTTCCCAAAGGTGTGGACGGAGTCGGCGAAGACTATCCACCCTCTTCCTATGGTGGAGTCCTATCCGTCCCGAGTGCGGGGCGCTTACCTAGGGGTCCCTGTTCGGGCGCCAGATGCCGGGGTCCAATCCCAGCAGGTCCAGGGGTCCCCAAAGGTGTGGACGGAGTCGGCGAAGAAGGAATGACACGGAGACAGTGTTCAGTTGATCAGCAGCCTTGCCAGGATCTCTAGCCACAATATCCAGCCAAGTTCTGTGTCCGTGTTCTCTTGCTAGGTTCTCCAGCCAGGTTCTCCAGCCAGGTTCGGTTTAGGTTCTCTAGCCAGGTTCGGTCGCCAGGTTCTGTAGCCGGGTTCTTCAGCCAGGTTCTGTCTAGGTTCTCCAACCAAGTTCTGTAGCTAGGTTCTGTCCAGGATCTTTTGCCATGTTCTCTCCAGTGAAGTTCTTCTGTCTCTAGGTTCTGTGTAGGTTCTGTCTTCTAAGTTCTGTCTTCTAA